ACAAAGAGGGCCGGTGCTTCCTATAAGACGAACGAGGCAGCCGCCCTTCGCTCCCATTGCCAGCATTTTAAATGCTGCAGCCGCCTGAGCGCTCTAAAGAGAGAGCCTCAGGTGGCTGCAGCACTGTCTTTCTCCTCACCTTCCCTTCCCTGTGTGTAGTGTTGGTGGCCGAGCTCCTCTCCAGTCAGCAGTATACCCATCTGGACTAACAGAAAGTGCAGGACAAAACTCAGACGCCCCCGCTCCCCCCGCACCACCCCTACCCAACCCTTCCCCCCTGCCACACCTTCTAAATACACACACACACACACATTCACTAGCTAACAGACATACACACTCACTAACAGACAAACACACACACTAACAAACACTCACACTAACAGACAGACACACTCACTCACTAACAGACAAACACTAAGACACACACTCACTCACATTAACACACTCACTTTTTTTGTAATTTACACCCCCCCCCCAGCCTCCTTACCTTTGGGAATGCTGGGGGGTCTCCCTCTCCCTGGGGTCTAGTGGGGCTGGTGGGCGGTCGGCGCTGGCGAGGGAGCCCTTTCCCCTGAGCTATGGTCAGCTCCCTTGCGCACCGCAGAGTGATGCCGGGAGCCGGAATATGACGTCATATTCCGGCTCCCGGCATCACTCTGCGACGCGCTAGGGAGCTCAGGGGAAAATGCTTCCTCGCCAGCGCTGACCGACAGACCGCCCGCCCGCCTGGACTGTTAGCCGTGAGGCTAACAAGACATTTGCCCTGGGCAAAAAAAATGGAGCTGCTTCCCGTTCTCCCAGAACATTGAATTTTGTGATCACAGTTACAAACAGCCTCCAGAGATCCTGTTCTACACCAGACCAGTGGAGCCAAACTGCAGCCAGAGCCCATCACCATCCTCATCTGGTTGTAAGTAGGCCATTTAGTATATCATTAGTGACACTAATCTCTAATTTACCTCACCTTAGAGGGACACTATAGTCCCCAGAACCACTGCAGCTTAATGAAGTGGTTCTGGTGTCTATAACCGGTCCCTGCAGGCTTTTTAATGTAAACACACACTGTGTGCAGCACTGGCGTTAGTTCATATGGCAGGTCATATGGGGGGGCAAATTTTTCTTTTGCCTAGGGCGGCAAAAATCCTTGCACGGGCCCTGCATACACACACACACTGCCTATTACATACATATACACACACACACAGACACTGCCTAATACACACACACACTACCTGATACATACATACACACACACACACACACTGCCTATTACATACACATACATACCAGGTGGGGGCTGGGGGCACTGGAAGCAGCCCAATCAGACACTGTGGTACCTCCTCTGTGGTCATGCCTCCAATCTCTCCTCAGACACAGTACATGGGGAGCAGCACATAGAAGCTTTGCCCTCCCACTGCCTTCCTCTTCAAATCTCCTGGACTTGGGAGGAGGGGGAAGAGGCAGACTGGGGGCAGAGTTAGAATGTTTGGAGTGGGGAAAAGCGGAGTTTGTCATGGGATGAGTGGAGCTACGTGTTTGTGGGCAGGGATAGGCGGAGTTACAATCGTAACTCCTATTATCTGCTGAAAGCATTTAATCTGAAATACAAGAAGGAGGGCTGAAGCAGTGAGGGGTGGGCGCTGGCAGCTCTGTCACAGGTGGCGGCGCGGGTCTCTGTGTTCTCAGTGAGTGAACATTGCCAGCATACTCTCAAGGGGAATTCAGACAGTATTACAGCCCTTGCGGGCGCCCACTCTCACTCAGCGCCCTGTTTTGTTTTGTTTTTTTACACACTACTCTTAGGTTTGCCACCTGACTGGTATTTTAATGGCACAGATGGTATCTGAGGCTGCCTGGCTGTGCCGGTATTGCAGTAATACCGGCAATACAAATGCAGGTAATTTTCTCAGAATAAATGGAAATTACTCTGCAATACCAGCCAGTAGGGGTCACTGTGTGTGGAGAGAGGCAGGGATAGGAAGTTACAGAATATCCCTGCCTCTCTCTACTACTCACTGATCCGTGGGGGAGCAGCTACACAGCACAGAGAGTCCAGACAGCAGCTGTACAGCTCAGGTAAGTGAGGTATGGGGGGGAAAGGCAGCAGGGACACTGAGACAATAGGGGACACATGATGACACATACACTAGGGGACACTGAGACACTAGGACACGGACACCGGGAGACCTGGGAACACAGACACTTGGGGACACAGACACTAGGGGACACATGGGAACACAGACACTAGGGGACGCTGAGACACTAGGACACATGGGGACACAGACACTGAGACCTGGGGACACAGACACTTGGGGACACTGGAAAGCATGGGGACACTGAGACACTAGGGGACACATGGGGACGCTGTGAGACATTGGGACATGGAGACACTATGTCCCCCAGCCAGTGTACCTAGGGTCTCAGTGTCCCCAAGTCTCCCAGTGTCTGTGTCCCATGTCTTTCAGTGTGCCTAGTGTCCCCATGTGTCCCAAGTCTATGTCCACAACTGTCCCCATGTCTCCCCAAGTGTCTGTCTCCCAGCCAGTGTCCCCTAGTCTCCCAGTATCCCCTAATCTCCCAGTGTCCCTAGTGTCCCCAAATGTTTCAGTGTCTCCATGTCTCCCAGAGTCCCTATATGTCCCAGTGTCCACATGTCTACGTCCACAACTGTCCCCATGTCTCCCAGTGTCCCCAAGTGTCTGTCTCCCAGCCAGTGTCCCCTAGTCTCCCAATGTCTGTGTTCCCATGTCTGTGTCCCTAGTGTCTTAGTTTCCCCAAATGTTTCAGTGTCCCCATGTCTCCCAGTGTCTGTGTCCCTAGTGTCTCAGTGTCCCCATTTCTCCCAGTTTCCCTAAATGTCTGTGTCCCCATGTCTCTCAGTGTCCCCAGTATCCTAGTGACATGGGGACACACTGAGACATTGGGAGACTAGGGGACTGGGCGAGATGGGGACACTGACACTGTGATACATAGGGACACTGAGACACTGGGTGACTTGCGAGACTGAGACACTGGGAGACAGTGAGACACTGGGAGCAATCCATCTATACAGCAGAATCAAACTGTGAGTAGTTTGTTGGTGATTTTACAGAATTTTCTCTGATGTCACTCCTTGTGATTTACATGCATAACTAATTAATTATACAAATGATTAAGGCTGGTATTTTTTTCCAAGAAAGGTGGCAACCTTAACTACTCTTCACATACTCTTGCTTAAAGGAGCACTATAGTGTCAGGAACACAATCATGTATATCTTACCCTATTATGTTAAAACCACCACCCTGGCCCCTTCTTGCCTCCCTAAATATAGTAAAATATTACTTGTATTCAATTCTGCAGCTGCTGGCTCAGAAGTGGTGGTCTGAGCAAATTACAATACTTCCCCAATAGGATTGCCTGAAACTGTCAACTAGGCAGATCAGGGGCAGAGCCAGCACAAGTCCAACATAGCCCTGGCCTATCAGCATCTCCTCATAAAGATAAATTGAATCAATGCATCTCTTTGAGGAAAGTTCAGTGTCTGCATGCAGAGGGTGGAGACACTGAATGGCAGTGCTGCACACTAGGCAGTACTGCCCCAGGAAGCACCTCTAGCAGCCATCTAAGGAGTGGCCAGTGGAGTTATTTTCTCTGAAAAGACAGTGTTTACTGCAAAAAGCCTGAATGGAATGATTCTACTTACCAGAACAAATACAATAAGCTGTAGTTGTTCTGGTGAATATAGTGTCCCTTTAAGTTTGGAAGCTTAAGAGGGATGTATGGGAACAAAACATGTGTGCACTGGCTGACATTAAAGTTAGTTTAGGTAATGCAGACGTTGGTCTCTCTAACACTGTGGCATGTCCCCTTTCTTCTACACTCACTACAGACACCTTTTCTCTGTCTCAGACTATACCAGGAACTTCTGCCTGCTAGTAAGAAGGTAAGGAGACAAGTGGACAAGCGAGTGCTAGGGGACAGTCCTTAGAAAGAATGGAGTGAGCGCATCATTAGACGCATTTATGTCAAGCTCAAGGTGCTGCCTGCATTGTATGCCCTTAGTTGGACAGCCTGCAGGATTGTCAGGCAGCCTGACATGCATTCAGGCCAGGCTGACCTTCCAATTCTTTGGACAAACATGCCCCCTTTTTGGGCATGTTCACCCCTTTTGGCAGGTCTTGTCACGTGATTCGCGCCAGTGGCACACCCTTTTATCCCGCCCATTGACTTCCTGCTTCACTGGACACTGCTGCTAGGGGTTATGGATTTACTTGAAAGATGAAAGCATAAATTAGAGAGACATTAGCATAGAGTATGAGTTTCCCTCCAGCACCATCTCCATCAGATACATGACGCTTGGGAGGTATGATTGTTTTAGTGTTTTTGGTCGATAAGATTCCGTAATTAGGCCCATCATAATTGTCAGCACCAGGCCCACTGTGCTCTTAATCCGGCCCTGGCCGTAGGCCACTGCCTAGTCTGCCTATAGGAAGCGCCGGCCCTGCTTGCAGACATTCAATCAGTGACGGTGACTAATGGCAGAGATTTGTTCCTCTACAGTAGGGGTACTCATAAGGTAGATCCACAGAAGTTTATAAGCGACAGCTTCCATGATGCTTTGTCATTCTATGGTAATTGTACAACATCTTGGCATCTGCCATTTGGGCACCCCTGCTGTACAGACTGGTAATCATTCCTAGAGTATAAACGAGGGTGAATTAGGCATTATGAACTAAATTTCATTCTGCAAAATATATGTAATTAAAACGTTTATACTTCATTCTATGAGAGAAGTCATTAAAGCAACACAGTCAACGGACAAGACGCATGGCACCCGAGCTCTGGCAAAGCTGCTCTAAGAAAGCCTCAAGGTTCACCCAAAAAGCCTCCATATACAGAGGAAACACTTACGGAGGACACACCAAGCAATGGGGAAGCACTCCCGAAAACCCCGAGGGCAAACCACGGGTCACACACACACAATATCGGGCAGCTCTTGTCCCAAGCATGCAGGCCCAAGATGGCGGACGCCTACCACGACATGGGGATGGAGTCACTTTCGGCATCAGACGATGAATACCTTGGTGACATACCAACCCAGATACCCCAACGGAGGCAGCAGAATGCGCCCCCGAAACAGCCAGAACACCAACTAGCCACTAAGGTCAACTTATCAGTTATGGTGACAGACCTCAAGGCCTTTTTCGCGGCAGAACTCGCGGGCCTCAAATCTGAGCTGAACACGCTCACGAGCCGCATACAAACTGCAGAAGACGGGGTCCAAGACCTGAAAGCCCAGCAAGAAGCTACCGCCACTCAAACGCTGGAACTAACAGCCATGTGCACACAGATGAATACCTGAATGGGGCAGCTGGAGGATGCAGCAAGGCAAAAAAACCTCAAGGTGAGGGGGTTCCCAGACACCGTAACAACAGAGGAACTACCGCATCTCATTAAGAGACTGCTCCAGGCCGCCCTACCACCCAAACAGGCCAAAAGCATAACCCTAGACGGCCTATTTCGCATCCCTGGACGCCCACGAAACACACCTGATTCCGCAAGAGATGTCATACTAAACTTCAAATCCCGCTCAGACAAGGATGGCTTTCTCAGAGCCGTCAGGGGCCAGACCCCATACGCATTTGAGGACCTTACCTTGAACTTTTATCAAGACCTCAGCCGCCAGATGCTACAATGGCGTGCATCCCTAAAAGAAACAACGGCACAACTGAGAGCAGCGGATATACCATATAAATGAGGCTACCCAAGGCTTCTCATTGCCACGCGAGATGGACACAACCACCACCGACTGGCAACACCGGAAGAGGCTCCACAATTTCTGCAGGCGCTAGGCATCCAACAGACGGCAGGAGCCAAGACAAGACTTCCACACAAGTGGGACGTAGCTAATGTTCCGGACTTTACCCCTGCGGGACAGACAACATCCGAGGGACATGGGCCAGCGCGGCCTCAGGACACTTGAACCGACAGAGCAGCCGTCGGATAAAGAGATATCGCAGCCAAACCAACCAGCCTGGTGCTGACACATATTGGGCCAGGATGAGCTTGGCTCCCACATCTACGTATTGTTTTTTGTTATGTTTTTTTTTTTTTTGTCGTTTACCTGGTTTAACCATTGTTTAGTATTAACAACTTATTATCTTATCGTGCAGACAGATATCTTAACGTTAATAAGCCATTATACTTAGTGTCATTAAGCCCATGGCACCAATGTCACATACTCCACACATCAGCATAGTGGATGGCATACCTCCCCTCTCCCCCCCCCCAAGACTCCGGGGTCAAGGAGCCATAAAACCATGTCACATACCCCTATTGCCTCAAGCCGCTATAGCGCACACGTCCCTAGAGCTTGTCCCCAACCCTACCCCAAGCACTGTCACCCTGCTGTTTCACTATGTCTTCATTTACTGTGCACGCAGCTGTTGTTGTGACACTGCCTGCTTTTGTGTTTAAACTTGCACTTTCAAAAATAAAGAATTTCAAAAGCAACACTGTAACGACCACTACATTTGTTTCCACCCTAGTCACCACCAAATGCCACTAGATCCCCCATTTCACCCTTTTTTTTTTGTCAATCTGTATTTTATTGAGGCATATTAGATGGGATACAGAATAGAGAGAGGGAAATGTGCATTTAGAATACAGTACAGGGCTCAATAACAGTGGTATCTAACATTTCCTTAATATTTGTACCTCTTTTTTATGTTTTATGGTTTAACGTTGCTTTTGTAAACAGGTTTAGGCAATATGCAATTTAAGTCGCTTAACATTGACTAGTTGTAACAGGTTAAGTGAGCAAGTTTTGTATAGGGTGATTGCGTAAGCTCAGTAGTTCCCTGTTGTGTAAAATTAACTCAAATAATAAGAACACGCTAACATAATAAGCGATTAACTGCTTGCAAATACTGACGTGTCTATATCCCCAGGCACCCCCCACTGCTATCTGCCATACGTGCAGTGGTATATGAGCAGACTGGCTAACGTCCAGGCTCCAACAAATAAATATCTATTTCAGCATATTCAAAATCAGGTTAGGGAGACATAGTAAATGAGGGAGAGCAGACTGCAGTGTGTGGGGGCCGTGTGACATATTAAGCTCAGCAATATATCATTACCAACAGCCATCAAACATGTAGGCGAAAGTTAAGCAGTGAATTCAAGTGAGGAGCAAAGGTTAAAGAGTTCTTTCAGTCCTCTTCATCCCATGCCTGTTCGTGGCCAGTTGTTGTCAGGAGAAGGAAGGCATGTGGAGTCAGTGCAGTAGTTGTGGGTCGAGGTCCCCCTCCAGCCCCAGGCCTTTATGGAGGGTGGCATCTTCGGACCACTGACTCGAGGGCTCTGAGAGATCGAGGCATTCCCTTGTAGGGTGCAGGTGGAGCCAGTGTATCTTCGCTGCCTGCGGCGGGCAGTCCCCCTGCAGGGTGGTTGATGCTGCGGAGGTGGTTTCCTCACGGCCCTCGGCCTCGGCGGGCATTGTGCTTGCGTTGCTGGTTTGGGGTCAGTTGCTGTGCCCGGAGTGGGGCACCTCTTCCCCTTAGTGTGTACTGTCTGCTTGTGCGGCTCTGTTTTTCTCTTTTCCCCATGGGCACGGTCGTGTTTACTCGTACCTGTTAGGGGTTGCAGGGTCACTTGAGTTGTTTGCAGCTTTTTATTTAGTTTGTGCCAGAATCGGGCAAAAGCAGCTTCTATGCGCTTCACATCTTCGCTGTCCGTTTCAGATTTGCAGTGTAGCTCGTCTGATGTGCTTGCCGCCACCATTTTGGGTGCACCACGTGCCCGGCTGCCCTTGTGTTGCAGTTTGTCAGATTGTTAGTGCAGCTTCTCGCTGCCCTTGCTGTCGTTTGGTGCGGACCGAGATGACCCCCGTCGGTCCCGAGGGGGGGGGGGGTAGAAGTGGTCAACCCCGAGGGCACTACATCCAGGTCAGTCAGCCCAGGGAGCGGCCGTCTCCCCGAAGCTCGATCTCCGGCAGGCCTCAGGGTATCTCGTTGGGTCCCGGGGGGTTACAGGCTTGTATGTGGTATCGGGCGATTCCCCCGGGTGTCCCCTTCAAGGTAGCCTTCCTCTAGTGTGCGGCTGCACCGATTTTTCGGGGTATTATCCCCAGAAAATGCTGAGTAAAGCGGGAGCTGAGGTTCAGCACAACCGCTCAGTCTAGATGCCAGGCTCCGCCCCCCCCCCCATTTCACCCTTTTTTACCTTACTATTTCCTGTGCGGATCTTGGTCCTAGGCGCCGCCATCTTAGTGTGGTCAGGTGAAGGTCCTATGGGACACGTCATCTGCCCACACGATATAGCACGGTGAAATTACCGCACATGCCCAGTTCAACACTTGGGTATTTGCTATAGTCCAAAATTCGGACAGGAATTTCAGCTATTCATTCATTCATTCGTCAAAAAGATGAATGAATAGAAATTTCAAAGAACGAACAAAGACTGAATTTTCAATAGGAGATAGATTTCTATTTTATTGAGGTGGTGACTGGAGGTTTGGGGACCCCTAGTTACTTTGGGGGGGTGGGGGGAGAGTTTATTTTAACAATTTGTCCCCACCCCGTTTCCAATGGGTGGGGGCTGAGGAACAAAAGTTCCTCCCAATGTCACTTAGGGCCCCTATCTCTAATGGGTGGGGGCCGGGGTGGGAATAGAATGTCCTCCTTTTGTCAGTTAGGGCCCTCACCTGCCGCTAATGGGTGGGGCTGTGCGGGGGAACAGTATGTCCCCCCCCCCTTTTGGCATTCGGGTTCTGACAAAATTCGTTAATTCGTCTATTTGACAGGACATTCGGAAATAGTGAAAGGAGGCATCGCAAGAACACGGAGGAAGGGTGAGTATTGTGGGAAAACGTTTTGACCACAGTAAATGGAGCTGACTTACGCTCCTCCTTTGGTCAGCGAAGGTCAAGCATAGGAAAAATACATCAAATATAGTCACTACTTTGTCTTGTGTTTTAAATAAAACTAGATAAGATACGAAGAAAAGAATAACCAATTCTGAGATAGTAAGGGAAGAGGAAACAATAGGAGAAAGGTAAATCTTTTCATACACAGTTAGATCCAGGAAGGAGGAGTGGATTATGGAGATTCATTTTTGTAGATCCTGAATGTATAGCTTTATAGTGTGAGTATGTGGTTCTCATTATACAGTTTGACCACTAGGAGGAGCTTTTGCCTTATTTACTAGAATTAATATACACATAAAAAAAATGTTAGTTTGATGCAGAATCTCTACAGTGAGAATTTATTTATTCCACATGTACTACTTTTGAGGCTGAATTCTGTAACAAGAGATACATGGAACTTTTGTAACTTCACAACAAGAGGACAGTCTTAAATTAGAGGGGCAAAGGTTTAAAAATATTATCAGGAAGTATTACTTTACTGAGAGGGTAGTGGATGCATGGAATAGCCCTCCAGCTGAAGTGTTAGAGGTTAACACAGTAAAGGAGTTTAAGCATGCGTGGGATAGGCATAAGGCTATCCTAACTATAAGATAAGACTAGGGACTAATGAAAGTATTTAGAAAATTGGGCAGACTAGATGGGCTGAATGGTTCTTATCTGCCGTCACATTCTATGTTTCTAAGTAACTGGATTGGAGTTTTCTTGACATCTACAGGAACTTCTGTTCAGTAACCAGAAATATGGTGATTTGGTAAATTATTAGTGGGAAAGTATTGAATACAAATTGCACATCAATCATTGCTTCTTTTTCAACTCTCAACCTCAGATATTTTTCCAGCTTTGTAATGTTGGCCAAAAGTGCAGGTCTGTGCAATTGACAGTTTAATAAAATCAAGCAAACAATACCAATATTTTCTTTATGGGGAGACTAGTTTAGTTATGCTGTGTAGCCATGTGTGGGAGCGCTTTCAGTGTATGTGCAGAATCAGCCTGTAAACACCTACGGTTTTGGCCATCTTAAGGTGGAACTTTAGCTTTAGCACTCCATACCTTTGGGGAGGGAGTTTTCATTTGCACACTAACGGATTGAATGCATGTGCAGGGTTCATGTCCATTTTGATTTCACATATGTATGCATTGTTTCTTTTTTATGGAGTGAGACATTGATGAATGATGATGATTTGGTCTGACATGCAAATGTAGATAGACCACACAAAACAAATACAACCCCAATATGCACGAGCGGGTAGCCACGAGACACACTAGAACTCAGGGCTACAGACAAAAGATCAGAATGCGTAAACACCAACTCACTATCGCAAGATGGGCCTTCACTGCAGTTTACGGCAACAGGGATAAATACGCAAACACAGGCATCTCAGAAGAATACAGTGTATCATTAACGAACCACACTAACACCATTTAATGAGCCGATA